AAAAAAAAAAAAGTCTGTTATCGATCGAGGCAAGGTAGCATGGAAAATCCCTTTCCTTCGATAATCGGACTGCATTCTTCTACCGGGAACATACATAATCAGGTACGTTAGAAACTACTTCGGCGATGACTAAAGTGACGTGTTAAAGTAAATACGTATATAATGGTACGTATATACGTAATGTTAAGAATTCTGAAATGTTCGAATACGTGTTTGTTATTGATTATTATTTATTAACCAAATAGACTCTAAACCCCGACGTTCCGATAAAGCCGTGTCGGTCAAACAGAGATAAATTATTCCCACTATAGATTAGAGGAATTTGTATCTCGTTAAATCAAATTACAAATTACTTCATTTCTGTCAGTTTGACCCGAGCTCGTTCTTTATCATTCCCGACAAATTTCAGACTTTCCCACTGACGTTTAAGAGACAAAATGTAACTGTAGATAACTGTAGATCGAAATAAAGATCCATTTTACCCGTCTGGCGACTCGAATTCGCCCAGTGAACCACGTCAGGGCGTTCATCTTCAGAACGAGAACGCATGACCACCAGGCGTAAACGATCCACAGCTCTTTCATCTCGTTCGCAAGGTTGTCCTCCATTGTTTCACGTTGGCCTGGGCGAAAGAAAACGGCGAAGAATAGCCAACGTAGCTCGTTGTTCCCTCAACATTTCATTCGTTCCATTGCGTGCGCCATACTGCACTCTCGACGCGCAAGAAGATGACCATTTATCAGCGTTGTGATAAAGCAACGACAATGGTGGCCGACGAGCGACAGGGATATAAATAAGAACGGTGGAAAGCAGAGGAAAAGAAAGAGAAAGCGGGGCGAAGGGAGGGAAAGAGTCACAGAATGCACCGGGAGGTATCGGGACACGGAGGCGACTATTTGAAAGTTGGTACGAGCGCGAACACGCGAGAGGAAAGTCGGATATACACACACGAGAAGAGTCGACGCGACGACGACGACGACGACGGTGACGCGTTAAAATTCACTTCGCATGGATTGGTTGTCGTTCGACTGCTACCAGACGACTGACTGCCTCGAAAACCGGTGTCCCGAACGTGATCTCGCGTCCTACAGCCCCATTTGGAAGTCAAATCGACGCGCGCCAACGCCGGTTCCTCGCTGAAGCACGTTTCGGAAATGTCGCGCCGCGGCATTTGTTTCGAACCCGAATTCGTTTATTTCCCCTCTGTGAAAACATGGCCGCGTTAAAAACTTTCGGGAATTGTGGAACACGTGGTTCGTGCAGGAAGTTTCCGCCGTTGAATTGAACAGCTTCGCGTTGGCACGCTGACGCCGAGAAATACGAGTTTACGAAGTTTTCCTCCGTTGGAAACGCAGGATTGGCTTCGATGTTTTCCCAGAGAGTAGGATTATTGCTTAATC